TCTTCCATCATTTGCAATGTTTCTAAATTGCTTTTTTATTGTTTTTTCTTACCAATTTCTCTTATCAATACTGCTCCTTCAACAGACATTTAAATGACTACAAGAAACTTTGCAAGTGCATATAAACTTACACTACCCCTAAGCCTAACCTCAACCTGACAGTCTACTTATAATCTAATGAGAATTATTTAGCATGTACTGTAGATGCAATGTAACTTAAAATCAACAAAATGCATTAAAGAGAGAGACCATCAAAATAAAGTGATTCCTTATTTTCTGTAAAACTGCTTCTGACAATTACATTTCCACTCTAAATGGTTATAAGTTAATAAACATTAGTTTAATTTGTAATGTTTAAGTGTAAATGTTTAATGAATTTTATGTAAGATTTTTTTATTTATTCTCTTAGGTAAAGCAAGATATCCACTGAAGTATCATACTTGGAGGAAATATGTGCTTTATGCATCAGAATTCAGCGTTTCCTCTAGAATTCTTTTCCAGCTGTGGCCGCAGGCCTTTTACACAGATCTACCAACTACCTACAGCGTTATTTTAATGACAAAGTGAGAGCGTGCATGCACCCTTAAATGTGCGCTGCTCAATTGCAGATTTTCTTGCTCTCAAATAAATGCTGCTGAAGTGCGATTAAGTGTGTTTGTGTAACAAGTATGTCTCCAGCATTCATTAGATTTCCTGTTTATGAATGTCTCTAATAGACCTATAGAGCGGCATTAATGCGTTAAGTGAAACGGCAATAAACTCCAGCAAGATAAAGTCATTGTATGCAGAACCACAGACCTTTATCTATAAAGTATAATTATGGAAACTGTTTATCATAACTAAAAGCTATGTCGTGTTTACTGGACGCATTGCACACCTGTCAGTAAGTCAGTCAGCTTGTCACCTTAAAGGGTTAAACAAATACCGGTTACAGAAAAGTTTACGCTGTTATAATTCACTTTTCACCTTTTAAAATGTTTTGGTGTGATTATAACCCGCTATTAAAAAAATGTAATTTTTAATAAAAAAACTGAATGTTTTGAATGGGATGTAATGTACCCATGGCAGGATCAATTTTTGACTGGCGCTCCACCATAGAAGAATGAATGTAGCAAAAACCATGAAATTAGTACTTGGAATTGGCCGATCACCATGACAAGGAATTGGTCATCCATATTGTCTGCAAAAATCCTGATCAGAGCATCCCTAATTTATATATTAAATAAATTAACTAATTTAAAAATATATTACTTTATTTTTGTCTAAGACAGTATCTGCTGCATTTCCAAGATTCTTGTTCCTCCTTAAGAATAAAAAGGGGATCTTGGCAGCAGCTCTGGGTGAACAGCACAGATGCTAGAGTGATAAATTTTGCTAAGTAGGCACCCTGGGACTTTTTTTTCTCTGTTTTGAGGGGTCGGTTGTAGAGGGGGACCAGAAGGGATGCCAGTCTGTCCTGTTCGTGCGGAAGGAGCTGAATTGCTTTCTCAAGTTCTTTGCAATTCCCAAGGGGCCACTTACAGCTAGTCCTATGAGCCCGGTATCAGGAGGACGTCTCATGTGTTGTGGAGACCCGAGTTGTATCTTAGTCTCTTGGGTAGCCTGAGTGGGATCCTTCAAACACTTTTTATAAGTAGCTACATTTTCTAACTTTTTTCCAAGTACATACTGGAACATCATTGTCAGGTACTGTAATGCTAAATGTGGTTTGGAATAACCCCTTAAAACTGCAGCCTTGCAACTTTACTGTATAATAATACTAGCTTTGATAAACCTAAATCAGAGAAAGAGAAAGAGAAAGAGGTTATTACATACAACCAGGGCTTGACATTAACTTTTTTGATCACCAGCCTCTGTGGCTAGTAGTTTTTCAACATTACTAGCCACTCGCCATTTTTACTAGCCACAATTTTGTTGTTAGAAAAAAAACATATTTTTATGCATACATTTGACTATACATACACTTTTTATTCAACAAAACTTTTCTTAAAAAAAAAATGATTGACATTTTTTACAACAACTATTGTCATGTATCAAAAACTATGCACAGTAGTCTGTCCTGGCTAAAGGTCCCAGATCACCAGTTCTATAAGCATAAATGGGAAGTTAATCTCCTAAAGCAGGGGTCTCAAACTCGCGGCCCGCGGAGCATTTGCGACCCTCAATGCAATATTTTGTGGCCCGCGCTGACCGCTGTACACTGACAGAATTAGCGGAGCGGGGAGAGAGAGCGCTCCCCGCTCCGCTGATTCTATCCGTACACAGCGCGCTTGTCACTCAATGCGCGTTGTCGCGCGCATTCTGATCAGCTGTGTTGTCGCGCGCGTACTCAAGAGCGGTGTTATCGCGCGCCTACTGAAGGCCTAATCTTCACTCAATGTTTTATTAATGTTCAGGACACTTCATGTTCAGAAGAAATAATTAAAACTGTTAATAATGACATTTGAGGACTTTTTTTTGTGAAATCCCTTTTGTGGCCCAGCCTCACCCAGACTTTGCCTCCTGCGGCCCCCAGGTAAATTGAGTTTGAGACCCCTGTCCTAAAGCAATGCTATTGTAAAGGATGATAATTAAACCATATTAACAAAAATAACTTTAAAAGACAGCAGGTGAAAAACATACTGTGCACGGTAATGAATGGATGATCACCTGCACATGGTTAAAGTTAGGCCCATTAATAATTTGTTTAAAGAATGGTTAAAGGGAAAGTGGCAACCTCTGCTGCTTACACAAAAAAATTTTTTTAAAGAGTCTCAAACTTTTGAAAGCAAGCATTGCGAGCATCGTTTATTGTCGTCTATTCCAAAGGGAACCGAAACTGCATTAGTTGCTTTTCAAGGCAAGGTTGCTTTGCGCATGGAAACGAGAATGCACCAGCATTTAAACACTTATGCACAACACATCAGCTGCTTGCACGACACTGAAGCCCTCATCAGTGAGTGAGAGTCTCTCCATGCGCATGCTCATCCTCTCATTCCGTATTCACCTGCTTTCTTTTGCTCATGCGAACACAGTTGTTTTTGTCAGTCGTGCTGCGTCTCGATGGGCATATTTATTGTCAAACTTTCTTTTAAGAAAACTACAATTTAAAAATTATTTTTAACCAGCCAAAGTGGCTAGTGGGTGTTGTTTTCTAACCTACCATAGCCGAGATCTACCCGCATTTGGCGGCTTGGCAGATTGTCTTGAAAATATTCAGTTTCTGTATTTATTAGCTTTGTCTTTGAGTAAAATGTTATTATTTGTTTTGTTATACAAAGTTCTGATAACATTTATAAGGTTATTTTAACAAATAATATTTTTTAACTCTTCTAAAGTTAAAACACTGGTATGATGTTTTGTAAAAGTCAATTAAAATATGACTGTAAATTACATCTTTTAGTTTTATTTAAAAATTATCTTAACATTTTTATTTTACATTTGGAAGAAATGTCATTTTATTCCCACCTCAACTTAAACAGCATAGTATAAAATATTGAATTTTATAATGTTTAGAATTTGTTCAAATATTAAAATGTAGATATTTTAAACTAGAAGTTTCAATTTAAGTTTTACGCATGTGTTTCAAACCAATAGACAGCTCATCTTCTATATTTTATTTGATTTTTAAAAGGCTTCTGTTAGTAAAAGTAGTCAATTGTTTAGTTTTATTTGCCTCAAAGAACACAATTTTTTTTTATAGCCACCTATTTTTTATTAGGTGGTTTACAGGCTGATTTTTATTTCTGCGTCAAGCACGCGTCACAATGATGCATAACGCAAGCTCTGTGATTGGTTGGCTTGGTAGCACTGACAAGTATGGGTGGGGCCACACCAACCTGCTGGAAAGAGTGTTTACAAGTGTTAAGTACCATGAAGGAGCTACAATTGGAAACTTGCACGTTGCATGTCTGCCGGTTACCATCTCAGAATGAGCGAGTTTTAGTTACTTGTACATTAAGGTAGTGTTTAGAAAATTTAAACACCAGTGAAGAAACTCGACACAGAGGAACATAAAAACATCACTCCCAGCTAGTATTTTGGAAGTGTTATTGCAGAGCAACACAAACAACACGCAGAAGTATAAATGCACCGCAACGTGGAAGGCATGCGCCTGTTGTGATTCGGATAGATACAAACAACTGAAGGTAAGATCCAAATGCAGGTTTATTCGAAGGTCAGGCAAGCAATGGTCAAAACAGGTATGAACAGGCATATGCGGACAAATCCAGAGTCGAAGTCGGTAAACAGGCAAAAGGTCGAAAGGCAGGCGGCTACACAGAATAATTAGAATACAAAGCTAGGTACAGACACGGGGAAACAAGATCGGGAGAAACGCGTAGAAATGTCACCAAACAGTAGACAAGACTCGGCAATGTGAATGAGTGTGTGTGCTGCTTAAATACTGTGTGTAATCAGTCTCTGTAACAGGTTTCAGCTGGTGATGTAATCAGGAAGATGAGTGACCAGGCGTGCGTGATTGGAAGAAGTGCATGTATGGAAATGTAGTCCTGGGGAATGCGGAAGTGAGGTTCATGAAGAAAGAGGAAACCAGCGATCTCCAGTGAATGATCGCTGGTTATCGTAACAGCGCCGTACTTTAGGTCACGGTGACCACTCAACACAGAAGTATAAATCAGCCTTTAACTACTATCTACTAATTACTGTGTACTTGAACAGGGTTCATAATGTATTGTAGAACATCTCTGGTGCTTTTGAGGTGGAATATGGCTAGGGTTAGGGACAGGTTAGGTGGTACAAGTAGGTTTAAGGATGGGTTAAGGTGTTTAAATTAATTACAGATGTAATTACATGCAGGTATTTAATCACGCATACATACAATTTAAAAAGCATATACAGTATTTATACAATAAGTACATTGTAACAAATGATTAATATCAGTGTAAGTGCATATTAGTTATGGCCACCAAATATAAAGTGTGACTGATTTTATTCTCCAAATATATTCCAAATAGAATCTTTTATATTAATATGTTATCTTCATCTTTTTCTATGGACAGTTTTACCTCCAATGAATCTGCGAGTTCGGGGAGTGTCAGAAAACACCATTGATCTACAGTGGGAAGGCCCAGCGATCCTGACAGACTATCTCATCACTTATGCCCCCACAACTCCAGGCGGAGTCCAGCTAGAAATGAGAGTCCCGGGAAATGTTACCAACATCACCATCAAAGGTTTAAATCCGGGTCTGGAGTACAATGTCAACGTGTATGCAGTGATTGACAACATCATCAGCTCCCCAATGAACACCTTAGTCTCCACCTGTGAGTGCATTTCTCTCCCGAGTCCTCTTTTATACAAATAACATCAGTGTTTTGGTCAGATAAAGCTATTTTTTTATGTCTGAGTCCTCTTTTATACAAATAACATCAGTGTTTTTGTCAGATAAAGCTATTTTTTTGTCTGAGGTGTTTTGCATAGATCTGGAATGTGACATTTTCATTGTAAGCATCATCGTTACCCAAGCATGACCCAGGTTTAATAGACCTTTATGAGAGATTACAGACTCCTTCTCAGTACCATTTGCACACACACACACACACACACACACACACACACACACACACATACACACACACACACACACCACACACATGCCTCATGTTATGTCTTCAGAGGAACAACTGGCTGCCTTTGCCAACAGGATATGATTAGACACCCACCACCTGGTGAGTAACAGTGCCAGATTGGCAAAATGCTAGAAGGCCTTTCGCATACAGTCTCTGCCTGTCAGCCTTGAGCAAAATGCCTCAGCCTAGAATAGAACACGTCATAACAAATATTCCATTATTTGTGAAAAGCCAGTTGGGTATTCTGGAGACAATCACAAAGCACCACTGACTGGCCTTCTGTTCTGTACATTATCGTAGGTAATTTCGGGATAATAAAGATAATTGGAACTTAATGAATTTGAAAGAAATTGGTATTTGCACATCGCATCTGGCAGGCATCATAAGCTCACTTAGACATCTGACATATTCAACTAGTGGAGCCGTAATTTCTGTAATCTTACAAAAATGAAACAAATGTTGAGCATTATTGCCCATTTTCTGCAAATGTATGGGATAGTTGGAATAGCTAAAATTCTGCAGTTATCAATAGGGAAACATTGCAATGGATGGATGGATGGATGGATGGATGGATGGATGGATGGATGGATGGATGGATGGATGGATGGATGGATGGGTAGGTGGGTGGGTGGATGGCTGGTAAGGTGGATGAATGGATGGATGGATGGGTGCTTGGGTGACTGGTAATGTGGATGGATGGATGGATGGATGGATGGATGGATGGATGGATGGATGGATGGATGGATGGAAGGAAGGATGGATGGATGGATAGATGGAAGGATGGATGGATGGAGGGAGGGATGGGTAGGTCGGTGGCTTGGTTGGATGGCTGTTAAGGTGGATGGATGGATGGATGGATGGATGGATGGATGGATGGATGGATGGATGGATGGATGGAGAGATGGGTAGGTGGGTAGCTTGGTTGGATGGCTGGTAAGGTGGTTGGATGAATGGATGGATGGATGGATGTTAGACAGTCATTTTTTGGTAACGCTTTACAGTAAAGCACAACTTTGGATGTTGATAATGCATTAGGAAATGTTGAACTATGATTATTAATAAATACTGTACATATGTTGTTCATTCTTAGATTACATTAACATTAATTCATAGAACATAAGTAAATTTTGAACCATGTCTTTAATTGAATATAAAATGTATTTATTAGGAATTATTAGCAGCCATTACTTCAGACAAAAGAACTTTCTCAAAGTTCAATCCATATACTGTTTTATGTGAATAATTTGGCAAGGTGATTTTCAGATTTTCTATTAAAACTTTATTCAACAGAAAAAAAGCTAAAGATAATATTTTATTCTGTTTTTTTTTTTTTCTTGAAAAAAAAATCATGTTTTATCAAAATACAAACTTGTACACACGTGCTGTTTAAATGTTATTAATATTACCGTTTGTGCTAAACACAGTGTCATTAAAACATTTATAAGAAATAAAAATAAAAAAACATAAACGTCAGGGTAACTTCTCCCAAACCCCAAGAAGCCCAGATTGGTTGAAAATGGTTATGCTGTTTAATATATTATTATTATATAATTTGTGGACATTTTCCATGATTATTTGATGAATAGAGGATTTAAAACAATTAAATGACTTGGGTGTCAGTTTTAATCAGTTTAATATGTCCTCGCTAAATGATAATTGGTGCTTTTAAACTTTTAAACGATGGTTTATGTAGGTCATCCAGATTAAGAGGAACTGAGACTGTGAGAGCTATGGTAAAAATGATTGTATGACTGCACATTTATTACTTACACACTTTTGTATGCCATCATACACTTTCAATAATCCAAACACTCCCAGAGCAGAGATGGCGTGTTTTATTACTGTTTCCATGAAATTACCTTCAAATCCTCTTGAGGCTCATGCATTGTTGACAATGAAAAGGCTGGAGGTTTACTTGTATGTACTGTGAAATGACTGTAATAGTATTTTGTGACTTGTATTCTTTGGGATTCCCGACTGCATCTATTATACAACAAATGTAAACAGATAGAAGAGACGATGCATATTGAAAGTAACTCCAAAAAAATAAAATAAAATAAAATAAAATAAGCTGCTTAGTATCCACTGCTCTTTTTACAGAGCTAAAAGCAGAGTAAAGATCTGCCTTGGCTGAGAAAAATGCTGATTTATTGAACGCACATAGGACGGAGGCCAATAATGCATCAATCTGTACCTTTCAGATCTCTCAAATCCAGACGGTTTACTCTTCAAATCCATCATGGAGACATCCGTGGAGGTTCAATGGCAACCCTTAGACTACTTGTTTGATGGTTGGGAAATAAGCTTCATTCCCAAGGTAAGGCTTTCCTTAGAAGGTCACACTTCATTTGATTCTGCCTCTGCTGTACCTTCTGGCGTAACAACACAGAGGTCCTGGAATCTTGTAGCATTTTCAGACTTTAGCGTCCACCGTGTTGTATTTGGACAACAATAAACAAGGAAAGAGCAATGTAAGGTTTTTACAGACATCTGGGCGCAGCTGATAATTTAATGCTTTTTGAAACGATGATTCGGTTTCTGACAGGTGCTTCTCAGCATGATAAATGTCAGTCTGTCTGTGTTTGAAAGAGAATTATTTTGCATCATGGCAGAAACACAATACATCCAGGCAGAGATGTTCACTAATCCCCTTTCAAATATTCCATCTGGAGAAAGGACAAAACATTTTCAGCATGTGCATACTGCACCCTCACAGGAAGAAGAAAAGCATCCAGCTCCTGCATGCCAACAAAATGTGGAGCTTGTGCTCAGCGCATCATTATGAAATAGCAGTGGGAGACATCGCCTTATGCAAAACAACATGCGTCTTATGCAACATACCTGTCATTTCACATTGGGGTGAAACATCTCTCCCCATGTATAAAAACCAATACACATCAGAGCGCCTGAGGTGTTTTGTTTTGTTGTAATGTTGCTATTAAGACTGGCCACAGAATCTGTAAACATATGTTCCTCTCCAGCAAAGAAACCATATCAAAGGAGGGCTTTTATGTTATGAAAGCAAAGAACGTTGGGACATTTTTACCTAAATAGCCAGACATAATCATTTCTTCAACCAGCAGATGATTTGGTGAGTCTTTTTGCTGATCATTTTCAGAGCTCATGTATAACCCCTCCAGGTCTACTCCTACCACTCTGAGCAGAATTCAAACAGACATCTCTGGCATTGGAGGCAGGCGCTTTAACAAGGATTTAAAAGACTGCTGCCTCTAGCATCAGATCCTAGAGTGCCTCATGAGGCCAGAAGAGTGAAGTTTATCTACACAGTTCTTAGTAACTGACTTTCATTATACTCCCCTCTCTTTTATTTATTCATTTTTTTCCTTATAATCTCATTGAGGTTAGTCTATCAAAGCACCAAGGCCTTGGAAGGTGATCTAACAAGGATGTTAAAGATTAAAAACAGATACTAGCGCATCTCTTGAGGTTAAAGAGAGTCAGATTTACCAGCACAGTTCTTACTAGCTGGCTTCCTTTAAACCACCATAAGCATCCACTCCAATCTGATGCCCCATTTACACTAATACGTTTTAGTTTAAAAATTGCCTTTTAGAATAAAAACGATCCACCTCCACACTGGTGTTTCACCTGGCATTTCTGAAAATATCTCCGTCCACACTATACTGCTGAAAATGCACTTCACATGGCCACACACACACTCTGGCATGCGCTGCAGTGTATGCGTGCATCTGAGCTCCAGCCAGTCAGCAGGTGCTTTGAGCACAGAATCCCAGCTGAGAGGTGTGCATGTCGGACAGTTCATCAAGAATCTATTGCTGAATCTAATCTCACTATATTTGTTAAACGTCATATTTAATTAATCTTGTTATCTATGTCCCCACATACATATTCCCTGGTCTTTTGATTCTATTGTTCTCAGGTAATGTGTTTTGGCTGTGAGCAAAGATAAAATAGCCTTATATATTCATTTATGTAACTATGTACACCTCTATTGCCGTTATTTCCTATATTGCACAAACTTTTTGGACATTATACTTTTATAATGGCCATTATTGATTATTAAAACTATTATTAAGCAAAGAGACAGGGTATGTTTCGTATTGTTTACTGAAAATGAAAGGAGGCAGTTATATTATAGTTTTCTTTATGTTATAAATATGCATACAGTGAAAGTGACCGTCATATAAATATGCAGCTACATGATGCCTCAATTTTTGGTGTCTGTTAAGTTGCTAATATGAAAATGAAAATAGGCAGTTCCTTATATCATGTTTTCATTTTATTGTTAAGAAAGTGAAACAATGTAGCCAGGGTGATACGAATGAGTTTATAAATTCACACTTCTCTTTGAAGGTTTACCTGATGTAAACTCCATACCTGACCTGATTTTGTTTTCCTTATCAAACTTGTGAAGTTTGAACTTAAAAGGAAAGCGTGCAAGACTTTTGTAGGCTACTTAATATTGAGGAAAAAAAACCAATCAGATTTGCCTCCATTTTTAGATGTCTTTGTTTACCTTCATCCACACTGAGACGAAGCAGCAGCGTATTAAAACGAAAATGGAATCTTCAGCGTTTCCAAAATGCTCCATTTTCGGACCTTAAAAAACTCCGGGGTAGTGTGAATGGAAGGCGTAACCATATCAAAATGTATGCATTTTTAAACTAAAACATATTAGTGTAACAAGGCCTCAGTCATAGCACCAAAGTACCTCTTGTTCAAATGAGCTTGACAGATTGACACTTCCAGTGTTCTTGTTAAGCCCAGGGTAGTGAGGTTTACCTGTGCAGCTCCTTTTATATGACCACTTTAAAATCATCCACTCTCATCTAGGTCATGGCACCAATGTAACCCCTCAGACTCTACTCACCCCGATATTAATGTAAAGCGTATGACCGTCCCTAGTATACGCAAGTGCTTTAGTAGGGGTGCAAAGGCCTGACAGATAAACAATTCTTGTGTGACTTTTGAGATTTACCTTAATAGCTCCTAGTAGTTGGCTTCCTCTAAAAGTATACACATCTGGGCCACTGCATCAGTGTAAGCACTCATGTTGTACTAGCCCTGCTTTAAGCAGGATTTAAAACAACATGTCCATAATGGAAGGTGGATGCTTTAACAAGGATCCTAAAAGCTGCTCCTGCTATTCACTAGTTCCATTTCTTATGCCAGGGGATTTGGGTTTACCTGCACAGCTCTTATTAGCTGGCCTATGTATCAAGTGGCAACATAGTCACACTTTCTAGGACCCCTTAAAAAGTGCAGTTTTCTGTCCTGTGTTGAGAAGTTTGGGTTGCATCCTACTGTCTTTGTCTACAGCCTGTGCTCTGGCAAAGTGAGCTTTGAGTCATTCATGTGTCTCATAAATCCTTCACTTTTTAAATGAAAGAAGAAAATACCTTTGATACAAAGTCAAAAGCCTCTTACGGGACAACAGGAGGTGAATACAAAGAGACTGATGGTTTGGGGGGAACGGGGTGCACTTCAGCATGCACTTCAATCTTCCATCAGTGAGTGGGTCTGCTAAGAGTACTGCGCCAACTTGGCACACCACTGGGGAAATCATATTAGAAGTGGAAGTCCTATCCTCTGTGGATTTAATCCTACAAAACACAAGAGCCATTCTTATTTCCCACAATATCATAATGGATGCGAGGGCAGGGACAAGTGTGCATTCACCAAGTCAATGGCAAAGAACAAAAGGGAAAAGGCTTTTTAGAACAGTCACATCTTCTGAAACTCTCACACACTTTGATATTGCTTGATTTCGTAAGCTTTCCAGGGAGGTTAGTCGATGTCTTGTGGGGTGTGATGCATCAAACTTACAAAGTGCTCTGCTAAGCGATTTGGGGAAAAAACAAGACTTGATTCAATACATCAAACATCTGGCGAAACCAATCTAAACAGAAATTCTAGCAGCTTGTTCTTTTTTTTTTTTTAAACAGCTGACTGGCTTCTGAAAACAGTTTCTGTTGATTTGAGCGGTAGACTGTTGTTTCTGCATGCCTGCCTGCACTCTGATGCCAGAATTTTGAAATGTGATCTATTTGCATGTGTTTGTGTCTTGTGCATATCAAAGGACAATGATGGAGGGATGACAGCACAGCTACCCAGTACCATCACATCTTTCCACCAAACGGGACTGAAGCCTGGAGAAGAATACACTGTCAACCTGGTGGCCCTGAAAGACCAAGGCAGGAGCCTGCCTGTTACCGCAACTGTTACCACACGTATGCCTCTCACTCATTTACATCACTTTTATGCAGTTGGCAGACTTTTATTCCAAGCGATTTAAAGTGCATTTAAGTACTATGCTTATGAGGACATGCTGTATGTGTATGTGTGTTTCCCTGAAAATCAAATCTGCGACCTTGGTCATTGTTAGCGCCATGCTCCACCAGCCAATCTATAGAACACCCACGCCTCACTGTTTCGTTCTCCAATAACTGCGCTGCGTTTTTCTTGAGCTTTCTGTATATAGCTTTGATTTTTAATGACCTACAGTACCACAATTGTTCGGTTCATGCATTTACCCTACACTTTCACTATATTTTAAGTCAATAAGTTTTGTGTAAGAATCCATACTGTGGCTTAAGCACTTTGTAGTTGTTTGTTAATTGTTTTTAAGGAACTTTCATCTCTGCTTCATGGAGATAAAACTAATTCATTCTAATGAATTCTCTGGAAATACCACTCTTTATATTGTATTATATTATATTATATTATATTATATTATATTATATTATATTATATTATATTATATTATATTATATTATATTATAGTATATTATATTATAGTATAGTATATTATATTATATTATATATTATATTATAGTATATTATATTACAGTATATTATATTTTATATTATATTATATTATATTATATTATATTATATTATATTATATTATATTATATTACATTATATATTATATTATATTATATCATATTATTATATTATGTAGCATCTTTTTTAGTATTGACTGATACTTTCGACATCCCTGGTATTTTCAAATATTCATGTTTTGTGATAGGCAGCATAGATACTCTGTGTCGAATGGCAGAACAGGATGCTTCGTCGTTGAATGAGACATAAAAGTTTGCAAAGCAAGCAAATGCTCTTCGGGCGGATGCACAGTGCAGAAGGAAAAAGGTTACGTTTGTTTTCTGTTGTGCTGAGAAGATGAAAGAGAGAAGAATGTGAAGTGCTTTTCCCTTCGGGTTACTCAGCCAGCTGAGTCACTAGTGTCTCTTTTGTAGCTGTAGTTGACAAGTTGGAAGTGGCTTGAGCAGTGATTTCCTCCACCCATCTGCCATGTCCTGTTGTTTCCCCCCTGTCCTTGGTGCTGAAATCAGTGTAGCACAACTGTAAGGTTGAACTGAGGGCTCACCTTCCAACTGCACTATGAAATGTTGTCAGAAGAAAACACTATTGCAGATATGTCAGACTAAACATGCAGAAAAACATGCATTCAGTGATATAATGCCCTCACAATGGAGGGTGTGTAAACAGACCTCTTGAAATAGTGTGTGATAGGGGCTGGGCTGGAAAGGCATAAGCTGCAAGGAGGTGTCACATTGCTTTAGCTAATGGAAAATGTCACCATGATGAATGGGTGAGTCTACCAGCAATTATGCACTTAATGTAAACTTCACCCAAGAATTCTTCTTCTGTCACTTACAGACAGGAGGATTAGATTCAATTGAACTTTTCGTGGACAATTGAAATTGCATGTCTGCTGTGAAATCGCCATTAATTTCTACGGGCCTCACTGCTGAGCATAATTAAAGAGGCATTAATTATGCATTCGAGTCCATTAATATTTCACGCATCCACTGTGGATACCTTATTGGATAAAGAAAGACAAATTTGATGTCACTTAATTATTTATGTGTGCAAAGATTTATCTATCCCCGGAGAAAGCCCGGGAAGAGGAGCTTTTCGCTAAGCACGGCCTCGCCGCCTTGTGAGTTTGCAAGTTGTCTCACGGTAATTATGCTTAAGCGCTAAAATTCAACATTTTCAGGAGAAAAAAATAAACAGTAATCTCCCGCCTGGTTTCTGGTGTGACTAGATTTAAAATGAGACCATGCTGCTGTGCCTTGAATAAGACCAAGCAGTCGCCCTTGTGGATTGAATAGGCTGAGTGGAGAACTTAAGGTAAATATTCCCTTGAACCTGCCGTGACATAATTTCCTCATTTACTCGAGCTTCCTCCTGAACTTTCATGTTTGATTAACGGGTCACATTATGTAGCTGTAATACCCTTAAGAGAGACACAATTGCACCATGCTCGGTGTATGTTTTGGGCTCATCCTTGAAATGGGAAATGTGGGATTCGCCGCAGTGTCACCTGGTCCAATTAGTAGCCTTTTTTTTTTACATATCACAGCAGAATGAGGACAAGGATGGAGATGAGCTGAACTTCCGAGGTCAAAACACCATCTTCATTCACAATACCTGTTTCTGAGGCAGATGGTCAGGTTGCCCTTTATAAAGGAGGAGGTTAATTATTCACACAACCAGTTAGCGTCTTATTAAAAGATCCTGTGGGAGACTCAGCACGACCACTTGAATCAGTCTCTTGAGTCTGGGCTTTGCTGTCGGAATGCCTGCTGTCAATAACTGGCGAATATTTTCTCATTTACTGTACTTGAAGTTCAAGAAAAGCCTGCTCATTGGACCCTCTGGCACCTATTTCAGGTATCCAAGACCGATTCCTATTTGGTTGTATGGAAAAATCTTGCTTTGGAAGGTAGCACTTTTTCCAGTATATTGTGAGTTTTAGTATAGTACAATATATTATAGTATATTTTTGCCAAGCAGCTGTTATAGATACAGGCAGGGCAGAAGATGCAGTTTCTGGAAAGTTGTTTGAAAAAAAAAAAAAAAGACTGTTATTTTTGCAATTTCATTGGTACTTTTTGTGACACATAAATTACACACCTCACCTTTAAATCTCAGGCGCAGTCACAGTTCAGTATATTTAAAGTTCAAGCTTAACTTGCAAATTCAGCGTTATCAGGTTCTGCACAGTCCTACAACTTTGAGCTTCCCCTTTTTTTGAAAACAAGTTTTTCCACCACTTTTTGACCTTGCATCGTTACCTTGGTGGTATTCTAATGATGTGACAAAGGTAAATTTAGCAAAATAAAAAGTCCTTTTTGTGGACATGTTGACAATGCATTCTGTTTTATACTGTAGCTCAGGGTTTGGTTGTTGTATTGAGGGGAAAGTGTGAACAAATTAGCTTGTATCTAATTGTACAGAAAGGGATTTTGTATGTGCATCAATCATCACAGAATTTAATCATCTACACTGTCATGTTCTCTATTTTTTCTATTTCTATTACTCAAATCATCAACTAAACACCCTGGGCACAATTTGCTGATAACAAAACTACCATGTTAGAGAAGGGTTTTTAAAACTCGGACTCAAGTGCCTCCAATTGTGCAACATTTGTAGTGCTTTAGTGTTTTTCTTCATTGGTAACTGCATTTATATTATAAGATATAAATATAGTAGATGTATTGTTACATACTTTTAGATGTTAATATTAAACTAAGGGTTTCTGACATATAATAGTTTAGTGTGTGTGTGTGTGTGTGTGTGTGTGTGTGTGTGTGTGTGTGTGTGTGTGTGTGTGTGTGTGTGTGTGTGTGTGTGTGTGTGTGTGTGTGTGTGTGTGTGTGTGTGTGTGTGTGTGTGTGTGTGTGTGTGTGTGTGTGTGTGTGTGTGTGTGTGTGTGTGTGTGTGTGACAAATGGATGGAGAAAAAACGACTGAAAACTAAATATCACTGCAATTGATTATTAATTGCCCATACTTTCAGTGAAACCATTGAAAATATATTGTACATTGAAAGAAAAATGTTTACAATAAATAAATGATAAATTATCTGTTGAAGAGGAGGTAGTTAGAGGTGCGTAAATCAAAGAAAGAAATATAACAAAACACAATAACTGTATTAAACAAACTATACTAACTATCAACAGAAAAGTATGAAAAGAAACATCTTTAACGTACCAAACGTCTTATCTAAACTACTCTAACTAAATAAACAAAACATACACAAAACAGCACACTCTCCGGAACCTAGTGAAATAATACAAAAATGAATCTCTGTGTTGTATATGTGTATCACGTGGCTTGCTCATTTCTGCACCCTCTCTGAGAAATCACTCAAACAGGTATCAGTTAGCTGGACAAGTTCACATGCAAACACATTGCAATTTTCAATCTCAAAAGATTTAGATAAGAGCAATAAATCACAAGCAAAATGAAAACACAGTCTCTCAGACTAGTCCTTGCAACGTCCAACATCACCAGCACAAAATGCGAATCCTCCAATCCTGTGTACCTGTTTCACATGGGTAAAACGCCACACCCACATACAAACAAGCGCACAAACATATACCCAAAGTACTTTTTGCAAGCGAACGTAACATATTATTAAAAATTATTAATCAGCCGTCAGCTAGCTCTCTGCACATCTCACATGGTCGCCCTCTGAAGCTAAGCAGTGTTGCATCCGGTCAGTACCTGGATTGAACACCACATGGGAAAGCGAGGTTGCTGCCAGAAGTGGTGTTAGTGAGGCCAACAGGGGGTGCATAACCTGCGGTCTCTGTGGATCCTAACACCCCAGTATAGTGAAGGGGACTCTAACTAAGACGTTAAACTAAGGTCCTGACTCTCTGTGGTCATTAAAAATCCCAGGAGTATCCATAGATGTAAGGTATTATATTATTAGATATATTATATTTATTAGATCTTGAAATGTTTTATATGTATACTACAAAAGTGTTGAAAGCTTGATTCTAGTTGGTTGACAAGCATCAGTGATTTCAAAGGTCTTTATAGAGTAAAACAGTTATTAAGACTTTGATCGAACATACAAATGTAATAAACAATAAGCACAAAATAGCAAATGATTTATTTTCCTCTTTTAAATTGCACTGACTAACGTGAAGTCACACACACGCACAGTAAAACATTTAGAATAAATAAATAAATAAACGAAAAAGAAAAAAACAAATAAATGAAACCCTTTTCAGTAGCAAAGTGGTAAATGTAATCTTCTTTCAGTAACTAAACAAGCAGTTCTGCTATTATTGGATTATTATTCCTTACTTAAACTTTACATGTCAGGATGGGTTTTCAGCCATGAGTCTGTGGACCCCTGGGTATCCATAAAAGCACCACAGGGGTCCACAGAATCATGGCTGAAAACCTTTCAAGCATACTGGAGTGTACTTTTTTCACATCACTGATGCTGTCTTATGTTTTTTTTGTTTGTTTGTTTTTCTCAAGTGATTGATGGGCCAATACAGCTTATTGTGCGAGACATCTCAGACACGGTTGCGTTTGTGGAGTGGAGCCCACCCAAGGCTAAAGTGGACCAGATTATACTGCGTTATGGGCTGGTAGGGGTAGAAGGGCCAAAAACCACCTTTCGCCTTCAGCCTACTCTGAGCCAGTACTCACTCCAAGTCCTGAGGCCGGGATCTACATATGAAGTATCAGTCAGTGGAGTCCGCAATGGCACTGAGAGTGGAGTTATTTCAACAGAATTCACAACAGGTGATCTTTACATTCAAGAATCTTTCTACTTTTTTATTTAATTAAAGTACATTTCATAGAAGCAAACTTTTGTTCGATTCCTGAAATGCACCATGATTATTGCATGATATCCATTATGTCACAATGAGAGACATGTTATAGATTGTCATATTTTGCAGAAATCGATGCGCCGAAGAACCTGAGAGTGCTGTCAAAAACTTCTATTAGCCTGGAGCTGGAATGGGACAATAGTGAGGCTGATGTTGAGGGTTACAGTGTGGTCTATAGCACACTTGCCGGTGATCAGTATGACAAAGTCATTGTCCCACGCAATGATGGTCCAAGCACTAAAACTACTCTCAATGGTAAACGCAAGTCTTTTCAGTTTAATTTACAGTGCAATTTCTATTTATTATACTGATAAAATGCTATGTATTTTTACTGATTTAATACTATGCAGAAATTATTAAAAATATTTAGTGTAGACAAGCACAGAACTAAAAAAGTAATTACTTTGTACCCAGTTCATTTTGTAGAATAATATATTGACTTTATATAAAATTGCCATTTATCACCCATTCATATTAACTATAATATTTATAAGTTTAAAATTTTAAGTATTTATTTTATTGTTATTTTTTTCCCAAAACAAGATTTGTGATTAACATAATCAACATAATCTGTTTATTATTCATTGGTATCCCTACTTACATAGCAAAAAGTTGTTTACAATTAATATAAGCCATTTTGACTTTGTGGACATTTTAAAGTACACATGAAATCAAAACCAACCATATCGATTATGTTAGCTCACATTGCTAGTTTTTTTGTGAAAAAATCATCAGTTCATGTCATTAAAAATAGTCTGCCGTGTAATCTAAAATTGAAATCTGAAACTGCACAACCTGTTTATTTTCAGTTAAATTCTGAGATTGTCTGTCTGAGGTGTTGGGCATGTATTGTATAAGTATGTTAGCCATGCCCCTCCAACTGTAGGTTTTGACAGCACTATAATAACAAACAGAAATGGTGAGGAGGAAGTGTCTATTAGGTTAAAATATCTTGCATAAAACCCTTTTCCTGATTTTTCTGAATAAAATGCTTACCTTTACTACATCCAATCAGCTCGCGGTAGAAAAATAAGCCACGCCCACTGTTTTCTCATTTAATATTCTATTTCTCTATGAACTGCATCACGATATAAAAAAAGCTTCTAGTTCATGCAGACTTGAATTTGTATTTTTTAATCTAAGTTCATTCCTTCTGTTTCTCTTTTAAGTTCGCTGCCATGGTAATGTTTCTTTTTTCCTGAAAAAAGAAATGCAACTGAAAAGAAATTTTCACCTCAGACAGTATAAAGAAGTTCAGACTGTTGCTCCTGATGTGTTGGATTTCTTTGTGAGCTCATTTTAAACGCCCACAAACCTATTTTTATCAAGGCGTTATGTTATTTAAATGTCAACAAACATATTGCTCATATGCAAAAATAAATTTCTGGTTAATAATCTATTTATTGCTCTCTTCTTTAGAACTAATGCCTGGCACTGAGTATGGAATAGGAATTTCAGCTGTACTTGGTGCCAACCAAAGCACCCCAGCAACGATGAATGCCAGAACAGGTATGATTATGGGTTTATGGTTGCCTGATCACCGTAAAGTAACTTTACTTTTAATAACATGGAGTTTGAGTTTCTGCTGCCTACATGCGCAGTTTGTTTGCCAGTAGAATTGATTTACAATTTTTGTGATGGCAAAAAGTTCATGAGAATGGATATTCCCATTTCAAACATTGAAATTGAATTTAATTCAATTCATCTTTATTTTATTGTGCTTTTTACAATGTAGACTGTGTCAACAGTTTTTAGAGTTGAATTTCTTGTCTGCTACTGTAACAGACAAAAAGTGACAGCTATATTTGTTTTACTACATAATTTGTACTGTGCATAGGATATATTTGAATATATTTCATTGTATAATACATAATTATATGATATAATTTAGAGCTCCATCTACATTTTTTTTACTTATATATACTTGACTTAAAAATACATTTTGCCTATGAAAGTTAAAATAAATGTTTTGTTCATTTTAAAAATATATTTTATTGAGCCTCAAAGTAACAAACTATACTTAGCTTATACGTAAAAATATTTTAGCCAGAACTGATTTATTTATATTTATTTGTTATTTAACTGTATGCATGCCTCAACGTTCTCTGTTCTTCAGGTCTGGACGTCCCATTAGATTTGACTGTTACAGCCTCCACCGACAACACCATCACCCTTTTATGGGGCACAGTGCAGGGGCCTATTGATCACTATAGGGTGACTTACACATCATCCAGTGGAGTCACAACTGAGCTCACTGTGCCTAAAGACGTCACCACCACCACACTGACAAGCCTAGAGCCGGGCACCAAATACACAATCACTGTGGCAGCGCAACGAGGCAGGCAGCAGAGCACGGCGGCCACTATCGATGCCTTCACAGGTAATTTGATCTTTTGGGAACTCAAGTACAGCAATCAACTGCCAAGTGTCCAAAGCATTGCCTCATCACCGCCTCATGACACATCACGTCAATTTTGGGCAAAAATCTCTTGTTAATCTCTCTGATAATTGCCTGAGTGTTGCAGTTTGCTGTGCATTTGAGACTTTTGTTTCAGTGTTTTCATTTCTAGTCACTTCCAATCATCAAAATTCAGCCACCCTTCTGTACTTTACTTCAGTGGTTCGAAACCCATTTAACAGCCCATTGAACGGATTTAATGATTTTGCTCATTTTCCTTATGCGGTTTTATGCAATATCTTGTCTTTGTGGTTATCACTCACCTGCTTTTGCATGACATGCCTACAAAAATAAGATTTTATCATCTTTCATCACCATTTTCCACTTTTCTTCATTCACTTTCCATTATTTGCTTGAAATCTGCTGATACGGTCATGTAATTTATTGATAGCTTTATTACAAAGATGCTATATTAAATTTTCAAATAGAATTCTAATTTATTTTTATTATGTATGATATTAATAAGCCTGCCACTGACCTAAAATCTACATCCTAGTCAATTCATTTTGTAAATGTTTTTATCCACACATCTTAGGTTAATTTAAGGCATGTTTATAGCCTATTTAATGAACATGGTAATGGTTAACTCAAACCCAGCCTTCATAAATGAATCTATTTTAATTCATTGTTTTGATCAGAGGAGTATTATAATACAGTATCTAACTTTGATAAATGCTTTAAATGTTTTAGTAATAGTATTAGCTATATTATTTTTCATGTTAAGTCAGATATTGCAAAAAACTACATTTTTATATTTAAATTTATTAAATGGGATAGCCCCTTGAGATGAACCATCTCATTTCTGAGGGCGCCCCTAAGGAGTACATAAATCAGAGTACATCACATCATAACAAACATAGAGCTAAACAATACGAACAAACAAACAAGCAGCTCACGTTACATGAAACACTTTCTACAGTCTAAACCCTAAGCAAACAAAATCATATAATTAAAAGTACAATTTGATAAACAAACAAATTATATATATATATATATATATATATATATATATATATATATATATATATTTTTTTTTTTTTTTTTTTTTTTTTTCAATATTAATAACATTTACAAGTTATTTCCAAAAAAGAAGATAAATTAGTTCTGAAAAGTCTAAGGGCTCTAATTTAACAATCTAGGCACATGGCATAAAAGCATTAAAAGCATGTCCTAATCCACTTTTGCTATTTAAAAGATGGAAAAATACGGTTTGCGCCGCGATCATAGTTTAACAGGGTTGTGCTTATTCTCTTAATTTTTCTCTTATCTTAATTTAAAAAGTTATAAGTTGGTTTCGAGAATAAATCAATCAGTATCTATTCACATGGCAAACTTTGTAAGTGGAAAAACTTAATGCTTCACTAGCGAGAAAACAGTTAAGCAGAGATTCTGCAGTGTGAGGATACAGAACAAGCCTCCTCCAATCAGCCTCTTTACTTTCTCTTTCTTTTTCTCTTTCATGGATAAGAAAACAATGTTGTATATTCCACTAAAGATATCCATTAGCCTATTTAATTTAGTTTGTTAAGTACAAAGATTTGTTTCAAAACTATTTCTAAATTCAGTTCTAATTTCCAGCAAACAAATAAATGAGCTATAATATTATATTATATATAATTTTTGTAATATTTTAATTCTTTAATTCTTTTTCCTTTGTAAAGATATTTGTGCATTGTTGTACATCCTGTGTATATTAATCAATGTGTAGGCGTTTAAGGCACACAACTAACATGCTCTGCGCTTTAGTTAAAATCAGCTTTTAGCTGGTCTATTGCACAGTCTATTTTAAATATCTCAAAATAGCAACGCGCCTGCAATGCGCATTAACACACCTCTTTTTTAGACCAGCACACCCCTAAGTCCACAAAGTGGCACAAATAAATTTGCTATTTAAACAGATTTAAGAAAACTAAGGTTGCGCTGGTCTGAAAATAGCAACACATCGCGGCAAACACATCTTGCGCCTTATTGTGCTGGGTGTATGATGGGCCCTAAATGTCTTAGTTGATCAAACAAATATCATCTGCGGAGCTTACGTTAAAGCAGACAAAAAAAATTGTATAATATGCAATGATGGTTTCTTTGTGGACATCTTTAAACAAACCAAACCGTATTTAAAGGTTTTAAATTAATATGAGATGTATTATTATAAATAGTATAACACTCTTTATATTGACTGATGTTAAAACATCAATGTTATTTTGTAATTTTGTTTGCAAAATTAAGTTATTTATAATAAATGTATTGTATTTAGAGCTTAGGCTGGGTGTGTTTGCTATAGTCACAACTTGAAAATGGTTCTTACAATTTGAATAGCCCTAGTGGGATTAAAAAGAAAATGAATTTAAATAAATCTCTTTTTACAGCATTTACATGCTGCTGGGGAGGTGTGTTTAATTCAGTATTTTTATAATTAATCCAATAAATTAATGCATTGAAATAAGGTAGCTTCTCATTTTTCATTTAATTTAGTGTCATATTTTGGCAGAATTTCCAGAACCCCCAGGGTGTTTATGAATCTCTTGTTGGGAATTCCTGCTTCACTTTATTACATTTTCCACCTCAAAAAATGACTCTTCACACAATCTGCCTCATGCATTTTGTCACTCACTTGCTTTCCCATGCCACATCATCACGTTTACTTCTGCAATATCAAGATTGTATCATTCTTCATCATCATTCTCATCTCTTCCTTTTTCAAATTCCATCATGTGCCTGATAATCTACAGTCTGGCTGCATCTCTTCTGTAAATATCATCTGATCATCTTATTGCTCTTCATTCTTGTACTCTTCTGTTTTCCTTCCTGAGAGGACGAGTCAATCGGCAGAGAGATCTTTAATCACAGGAGCCAGCTTGCCGTAATATAGTTGTTGTGGTTCAATTCCAGGGTTCCGCCCAATCACACAGCTCTTCTTCTCTGAGGTCTCCTCTGATTCATTGACTGTGGCGTGGAGTTCACCGGCTCCACCTGCTGACGCATTCATCTTGAACTACAGCGCTCAGGACTCCAGCGAGGATTCTGAGATTGCGCTTGATGGGTCGAAAACCAGAATCACCCTCACTGGTCTAATGCCATCCAGGCGCTACACTGTTACATTGGTCACCATGCATGGCAATGTGACTTCAAAGCCAGTTGTAGGCTCAGTCAACACAGGTATTGACACTAATGAATGTCTGGATATTATTTTACATGTATCTGAGGCTGGGAATGTGCTATCAATGTTTGTCAATGTTTTATACAAAATCTTTTTTTCAAAGCATTTTGACATTTACTAAAAAAACTATATATAATTGATATGCATCATTTTTGAGAAGAAATGCAAATATCTATGACCCACGATTTATTCATTTAGTAATAGTGATGTTCTAAAAAGTACTGTGCATATGGCATATTTTAAGTATGTTTATGAAATGTTCTCAATTGACTTTACACATCTTTTACACAGAGTGCAAACATGGCTCTAAATATGATTATCACATTTAACACATTTTACTGAATGTCATGCAAATTGAAAATCTCATGCATAATTGTAATGAAGCATTTCAGAATAATCTGATTCAAGTTTTTTTTTCCATTGAAAAACATACAAGGTGAGACTAAGGCCCAATACCAATTATTTATTTATTTTTTTTATCCCTAGCCTGTCTCCTCGGCCCTTGAAACAGATTGTAAAGGGGAAGGGCTTCAAATTTTACCACAAAAAAACGGGACAGTATTACATAACCTGCACACGTCATCATGTGTCATTGCAATCTCTTGCTTCATATGGGATCGACGATCCCAACTGCTGTAGTTATTCCAGTTGCATTATTGTTTTGGTATTTATCTTAAGGAAATAACTGAAGGCATATATCATGTTATCATAATGATATAATGTGGCAAAAAAATCATAACGCATTTACACCGTGGCCATATTCATCTATGTTCATCATATCTATACTCATCAGACACTGTAAAAAGGTCATTCCAAGCCACTAGACTTTTCTGACAGCGTATTCGAGTGTCATTGAGTGACAGATGTGAAAGTATGTTGTGGGACTGCTATACAGGAGTTATTATTATGGATTTATGGATAGCGAAATTTGGCAGTTTTTATTTTAGAGTTTTTTTAAAAAGCATGACGCAACATGAACGCGGTTATAAATGTATTAAAACATATGCTTGTTTGATGTAAAAATTTGTAGTATTGATAAAAAATACTAATTTGTGCATCTCCTGACTTCCGTGTGCAGCCATGCTGCCGTTGTAACTGGTGTATTCTGGAAAATTTTTGTACCCCTTGGTTTCGAGTGTGGTCTTGTAAAATCTTCGTTTCAGGGGCTCTCTAGTCCTTAGCCCTATGCCTTCAAGCTAAAGAGAATTGGGACACCCCTACACCTTCACGTGAACGTGCAAAACGTAAGGTAACATAAGGTGAAGCGCTAAGCGGTAGAACTGGGACTGGGCCTAAAGTAGTCATTCTTAAAAGTATGGCACTTTCTACTCTCTTAATATTAAGTGAAGTTTATTTATAAACTAATTTTGAGAGGATCCCGTGCTTATGATTGACACAGCTGGCCCGAGTCAAGCTAATGTATGATCCACCAATCAGACTATTTCTAACTTAGTATAAATAACCAAAGCATCTTACTTTAGTCATCTTCATCTTGAAGAATCCCTCTTCCACCCCCCTCTCCTCCTCTTTCTCCTCTATTGGGCAGCACGGCGGCCCATTGGCTAGCACTGTTGCCTTACAGCAAAAATGCCTCCAGTTTGGGTCTTTACACAGCCAGTTGGCATTTCTGTGTGGAGTTCATGTTCTCCCCATGCTCGCGTGGGTTTTCCCCGGGTCCTCCGGTTTCCTCCCACAGTCCAAAACATGAGATATAAGTAAATTGACTAAACCAAATCAGCACCATAGTCAATTCCACCAGCAGCTCACCCTCATAGCAATTCTTAAGCAGCAGGAAAGGGGTTCTCGAGATCTACCTGAGTTCAAAGTTCCCTTTCGCCCTGCAAAAAGGAGGGAGCCCCGGGCTCGAGGATCTTACGAGCTCAGGGCTCTCTTCCAGGACAGCATGCCAAACTCGCTTTATTGTCAATTATCAGCTAAGTGTGAACTCTTCAAATGATCTTTATTGGCATTGCTGTTTTTTTTTTTTTTTACAGAGCCTTTACTACCCATAGAACCTTTTTATTTCACAAAAAATTTTATATATTCTGCATAGTTTTAACAAGAAGGTTATTTGTTGATCCAAAAATGGTTTCCCTATGGCTTGGGGTTCAATTCAAAGTTTCGAATCTGAAATTTCAAAGGTCTGGATTTTTTTTTATAAAACTTGTTTTTAATGAACATGCACATAAATCAATCATTTGAAAAATATTTTTTTTTTAATTAAAGTTAATTGATAAGAAGTTCAAAAGTGGCTAAATGAGAGGTGTCAGTCATTTTTATGAACATAACACAACCATAGGTAGGTCAAAAGTAGCATGGTGTAAAACAATGTTCTCATTCTAATGTGAGAAATGGCACTGTCTGGCACATGTCTGGCGTTTGATATTTGCACTTCACAATTCCTGTCTCATTACAAATCAAATAGAACAGTTTGTTCTTGATTAAAGCAAAAAAGGAATGCATACCTCTCTGTCCAATTATATTTAAAAACTTTTCTTCGTAAACTTTTCTTTTCTGGTAAATTACACCCTCAGAATGCTTTCTGTAATCGCTCGATTACAGAAAACATCATAAGCTGACTGGATGTCATGACAACACTGTTTTTTTTTTCGCCTTGATTAACATATCGCCTTTGGTTTAATTTCGGACCATTAATAAAAAAAAAGTTTAACATACTACTCTCAAAGTAGTAAATCCACATTTTTTATCTTTTACACATAATTAGTGTTCTTGAATATGAAATGGATGTCAGTCCGAATTGAATTTTCCCTGGATCCAGACCCTGCTAACTAGAGAAACCATTTGTTATTATTATTATTATTATTATTATTATTATTATTATTTATTATATTTATTTTATTTTTATTATTTTATCCTAAAATGTAACTTTTATTTTACATTTTATTTAGTTTGATTACACCGTTGTTTGCTTGTTGCTGGTGAAGGATATTTTAAGCTATAAAGCAGTATAGTATCAACAAATCAAGTCAGTTCCATGATCAGTCCAAGTTCATACATCAGTGTCTGTTTTATAAAAATCTCGAGTCATTTGTGATCATGCATGGAACAGGATTTCTCCCATACCTGCTTGATTTATTCATTATGATTCCTGCACACAGCTGCACAGCAGATTTTTCACCCTTTTGTGCCTTAATTAATTCAACAGTGTGTAATCCTCCCCTAATTACTTCCCTCTGAATGTGGAGGTGTCAAGAATAATTCAGTCGTTCTGTCAGTGAAGTGATATTTACAGTTGCCAAAGGAGATATTGTCTCACAGCTATTTCTATACTTCGACATTAACTCGTCAGAGGACCACCTGCGCGGCAGCTCTATTAGTTCAGTAAAAAGTTTCAGCTTTTAGTCGGCTTGATATTATTAATATAATGATGTGATTTGTACATGAGCACTTGAAGTATTTGCACCTGTTGTTGTCTACTGTGTTCTCTAAAGCCTGTTTGCCTAGAAATGTGTTTCCCGCTTTATTTATAAAGCTGTATTTTCACACATTAGCGCTACTTTACATTAACATAAGTGAAAAGAAGGTCACCATATGCTCAACAATATGAAACCGAATAAATGCAGATGGAATGCGCTGGGGAAAGAAAAGTTGTTCTTGGTGCTCTTTGTTCAAAGTCTGAAAATATATTTATTGACTGCTCTGCTGAGTGGAAAATAAATTAAGATATGCATACATGAATAATCACAACTCATTTACTGAGGAATATTTTACCCTGAAAGCATTTAAATGAGGTTGACAACCTGTTTATGAATTGCCATCCATAGTTTATGAATTGAATGCATTAGTCTAATGAATATGGGGAGGTGTGAATGGCTTTCCACTCCTTTTAAAGACTGGCCACTTCAGTAATGGCAGGAGTAAATCAGTTGATTTCCTTCACAATTGCATGAACGCTCCAGAATCACTGTTAGTCTGTTTAAATGATCTCGGATGCTGTCTAACCTTTGCTTTTGTGATGCTAAGAGCTTTTGGGACAGATAAACAAATCATGAAAGTGTCCCTGCTGGACAGTGGCGAACAATAACAATGCAAATGTTCTAGCGAAGAGTGTCGTGTGTCTAGCATACTCAAAACTCCTGCTGCACTCTTGAGACCGCTGAAAAATAAAAAGAGGAAATAAATGACATGAGAGAAAGAAAAAAAATGAAATATATTCACTATTTCATGGATTTCAAGTCACAGGAGGCACACTAATATAATGCAGATGATGTCTATTAACAATTTATTACTATTAAATCCGTCATATAATAAAAAAAAACAATAATTTGTAATCAATAATATAATATATTAAGATCTAAACAGAAAAACAAAAGGAAGCCTAACTTTTTTTTACATGCAGTAGTTGCTTTATAGCAAGAATTTGAGATCACATAATGAAATTATTCATTCTTATTTTATGTCACTAACCACATTATTGGAGACTTTTGGTCTTATAATAAGTTAATCATAATGACCACTCAATGTTCCTGATGTTACTGTACATTAAAACTATACAGTTTGGAGTCAGTAATATATTTATATAGTAATATATATATATATATATATATATATATATATATATATATATATATATATATATATATATAGTGGTGGATTTTCAGTCCATAATATTGTAGTGATATTACTGTAAACTTAGTAACTAAATCATTTTGACTAAGGTATGTCTACAAATAAAAGAGTACTGCTGACGATATTAACAAATTTTGCCATCTGAATAAACATAAACAAAGAACACTGATCACACACTTACCAAATCCGTAGACACAGGTCAATCAACATGAACTAGAACCGTGTCTTTATTCAAAAGGTGGCGAGTGGCAAATCCAGATTTCACCATTTCCAAATTCAAAAAGCTCTCGGGCAAAAAATGTTCCTTAAAAACATATTTTTGTTGCATGTTAGTGACCCATGTCTCTAAACAATTCTTCTACTACTTGTTTGAGTTACGGTTGTCAACACAATGTGGCATCTCACTGTAATTTCATCTCACATCTCACTTTGTCTTCGAAGCTATACTGTATCATGCATATTAATAAAGACGTTCACAATAGAGTGTGCTGATTGGTTTGAACCAAGTCTTTCTCTTGAATTAATGAACAGATATGCTCCAATCTTCATGTTGGAATTTACACAATGATCTCATCGCAGTGATGTTGCTTCAGAACTTCTTTTTAAACCAGAAGAATTTGCTCTAAACAACGCAAAAACAACCAATTTTCCCTTTTTTGTGAAATAGATGTGTCCTCATAGCATTTTTAGCAACATGGGACATAGATATGACTGTCAACATCTCAAAAAATCTGTTTTTGGTAAAACTTTAAAATAAGGGTGAATCAGTAAATGTTTATGCGTTACAGGTTTTTCACAGTGTTTGTTCATGTTAGTTATCATTAGTTGATGAAAGTACAGTTGTTCATTGTTAATTCATGTTAACTCATTGTGTGTTAACTCATGTATGTATAAATTTGGATTTTGATTAGGCATTAGTAAAAGTTGAACTATGATTAATAAATGATGTTTAACTATCGTTCATGCTTAGTTCATGTTAGTAAATACATGAACTAATAAAAAATTGTAAAGTGTGACCAAATGTTCTTAATTCTCAATGCTCGTTTTCTAACTTTTATTTATAAACAGACCTACCAAAAAATCCCCTTAAGGAAGCATTACTAAAGAAGACATTTTCTAGAGAAATAGACCTGGTAAATAATTGATTCCTCCATTCAGAGGCATTGAAATTCGAAAGCCGATTCCAACATTTGTAAATAATTCAAAATGAATTGACTATTATTTAACAGCCCGTTTTTTGAGCCAGGCTTTTAACCGGTGTTAAGAAATAAACTTTATTTTCTCACCCATGTCCACTTTTCTCTCATGCTGCAGGAATGGATCCTCCTAGAGACATCACTGTGCTGTATGTCACTGAAGAATCTGTAACCATAACATGGATTCAACCCCTCGCTCTCTTTGATTACTACAGAATGTCTTACCAATCATCTAAAGGTACTTTCACTAGGGTATAGTTAAGGTATGTCTAATAAAAAAAAAATCTGACTAACAAGTCAGCATTACTGTTTGTAATTGTTCCACAGGAAGGATGGACAGTGTGGTGATTGACAACGACATTAATAACTATACCCTAACCAGCCTCCATCCAGCAACAGAGTATGAAATCAAGCTGAACGCAGTGAGAGGAAGCCAAGAGAGCAAGGTCATCACCACTACCGTATTCACAGGTATTTCCGTCCTCGCTCAATTACTCAGACACACTGATCATACCTGTGCAAAGACCAGTATTCTAACTTACCCTAGGAAAATGTGTTTCGTTCCTCACAGCCTCATTCGTCAAAGTACTTTGATTTGATAGAAATATGGATGACAGTGTGAGGAATGATGCACATCATTTACCATGTGATGAGTGCCATCTCTCACCCTGTGCGTTTCGCCCGTCCTCTGGGAGGCTGCCAACCATCTCGCTGAAGTGAAATGAAATTTTACTAATGGAATCAGTGATCGACAGGGATGCTCACCTGCCATTGTATTTGAACAGCACCACATGCCGGTGACAGGCAGCTAGTGCTATGAGTAAAATGTGTCTTGTTCAGTAATAGTCTGATGTCAATTTTTTGATAAAGTTAATGTTCTTACTCACGTGAACCGGCTAGTAGAAACATGACTAGATATTTTCACTGCCCAGATGGACAAAATGTTGCGATTTTGTGCTTTAATTTACCGTACTCGCTTAATCGTTGCTGTAATACTGTCCATGATGATAAATAGTATTTAATAATGTTAAAGTTAAGCAATAATATATGTTTGGAAGTGCATTTATAAATGAGAAAAATCTAATTTACTGGATTTATTAGGTATGAGTTTGACTTAAACATTGATATTTGTTTAATTTTATAAAGGTCTGGTAAAATTCCTTCCAAATTTATTTTTTTTTTTCTCCAGTTTTTCTATTGGCTTTTATTCATGAAAATAAAACATTTAGCTCTTTTGAACGGGATAGTTTACTCAAAACGGAAAATTTACTCACTGTTTACTCCAATCGATATGTGTTTCTTTATTGTATTGAATACTAAGAAAGATATTTTAAAGAAAGCTGTAACCATTTATTTCCACAGAAGGAAAAACAAATACTATGGAAGCCAGGTAGTTGCAAGTTTCCAGACTTCAAGATACAATGCTCAGCATAATTGAGTTCACCTTATTTTGAAAATGAATATTTGTTTTAGTTTAGTTTTAGTTTAGTTATTTTAGTCTCCAAACATATTTAGAAATTTAAAGATAATATATTTAAATTCAAGCTAAATGTTGAAAAAAAAATTACAACCCACAAATTTTTACCAAAAACAAATCTTTTTTTTTTTTTGTTTCTCTTGATTTTTTTCTCTTTTTTAAAATTTGTATTCAATATTTTTCTATTACATAAGAATTTGGGTGTACTAGTTTTTGGAACATTATCGTAAGTTACAGTGTTTTGTTAGATAAGCTCCAGATTTGCCTTCAGTACTGACTAATCTAATGTATATGCACAAATATAATATTGCATAGCTTCCTATTAAAATTATATGAGTTTAAAAGATAGATTTGTGAGGGGTGTACTTACAGTGTATATGCTGAGCACTGTATCTTCTTTTGTGTTTAACAGAAGAAAGAAAGACAAACAGGGTGAATAAATCATAATATATTGCAAATCACAGATATATAATATTTAAAGGTACTGAATGTAAGTTTTTGACCATAATATGTTTGCAGATATGTAAGAAACATGCCAAGTAAACATTCTTGTTGATCTGAAAATCTATGCTAAAGTCAGTTATTCTGCTTTGAAAATGTGCGTTATGTGCCGGACTGGCTGTCTTTGTTTTGGTTTTTTAACCCTGCCAATGCCAGTTTAGCCAATTATATTTCAGCACCTCGAGTTGCCTTTTTTCATTCATTCAGTTAGACAGGCTCTCATAGTGTGCGTCCATAACCAAAATGCGACCTTCGATGGACAGTACTAGACTCTGTCATGAGACGCAGATTCAGAGATCCACATGAGGTTATTAATTAGTAAACAATATAAATATCCAGCAAAGTGGTAAGGTTTATAATTAATTAATACAAATTAAACCTCTTTAACATTATTAAATGCACATGCTGAATCACTCATATGTGTGCAGTCACAATTCTAAAGTTCAATTTCAAATGATGTATTTTATTTTCAAGATCTGAGGTGAGCTATCTGCTGCTGCTTTCAATAGTCTCGCAATAAATGTCATGTAAAATGCCATTCAATCTCGCATTATTAACATTTAACACTGAATAAAGAACATGAGGTGTACCTGAAGTGATCAATGTCAGTTTTATGTTGTTTAGCTGCAAGATACTTAAGCCGTTTGTAAAGTATAACTTTCAGGAGTTGGTTAGAACAAAAACTTCTTTTAATATGGAAAATATTCCTTCCATCGCGTACGATTGCTTTTATTTAGAACATGACTTAAAACAGTCTTTAGGCTCAATAGTCAGGCTTGCTCCTGTTGGTGTTGTCAATCTGGCAACCTGCACTTGGGTGTGTTTTAAAACAGGAGTGCAATACTTAGTTTAACCATTGGGTGTCAATCTTACATACTGCACCTTTAAAAATAAAAATAGTATATGGAATCTAAAATATAAAGTCTAATAAAAAAAATGTAAGTAGTTCATGTAACAGATAAATACATATGCATTAGTGAAAGAGACCCTGTATAAATAATGCCTAGTGAACCTTTCATATTATTATAATGTTAAAGGCTTAGAACGGAATAGTGCTTTAGATGTACATTGAGATATTTAATTTACCGACTCAACAGGCAAATCTCCTTTTTTCCAGATGTGCCTTATATCACTGGAATGAATTAATTAGTCTATGTCTCAAGTCTCAGAAGTTAACTAATTAGTCATATCATTTCATGCAGTATAATAGAACACACAGAAGCTGGCCTTTGCTTATAGACTGCTGACTTGCTTAATAACTAGGCAGGTTTGTCTATACATCAGAGCTAAGCTACACTCCGCATTGCAACTTAAAGCCTGACAGCTTTGTTCAAAGCTTATAAAAATATGACAGGCAAACAATCTCAAGCTGCCCGTGTTGACAACAATCTTGCCAATGCTACAACAATGCAAAGTGACAAGCTGGCTCTTGTTCTAAATAATGCATCTTTTGGAAACAGCTTATTATTAATAGGATATAGCAAGCAGTCTAGCTCATTTCAGCTCTTACGTAAAGGGTGACAAGAGGGGTTGATGAAACATGATGGATCTGGTTCATGGTTGTGTTCTGGTTCACAGCTCTGCCTAATGACCGAGTGAAGATCATCGAGTTCGCGTTCATTGCATAAGGCGAAACTGATATTCTCCTCCTAGCCTGTCAGCGCAGGGGCATGTCAAGACGTGGTAAAGCAGAAAGAGAGGAAGGTGTGAAGTGGAATCGGGGGATTTCGCGTCTGAACTGCTGTCAGGCGGCGGAGATCTGCTACTCTGAAAGGTTGTGAAAGAGCCTACAATTTCTTGGAACAGAGTCAATGGTGCCTAATGGGAGGGTCAGCGCTCTACAGCTGTAGAAGCGATATGGCTATTGCCAGAGAGGCTGGCAGAACACAAATGCGTGTGGGATCGGATAATGTGCGATTATGGTCCACCGACCTCATCTAAGAGGACATACGCCACAAATAGTAGACTGAGTTTTCTCCTGTCTGAATAAAAAGGAAAGGCCATCTGTGAAAGTCGCAGCACGGATAGAGGATTACGAAGAACAACATTTGTCATTACTCACTCTCATGGAAATGCTATTGAGAATGAGCTCTGCACACATTTGACTGTCTAATTTCCCCCTCGATGTCGGCTAATTAAGGAAATTGTGATCTTCTCCAGCCAGATAATCACAACAAATTAGTTCCGAGCTGCCGAGGTGCTCTATTTTTAAATTGGCGGCGAATATCGTTTGCACAGGGAAGAGAAAAAAAAAAGGGCGAAGATGAGACTGCTGCCAATTACCTTGGCTGAGCTTATCTCAAACTGTCTGTCTGTAATCCTCTGTTCCTCACAGCTATGGACATGCCAGCGGAGCTCACTGCACTGAACGTTACACCCCAAGGGGCTCTGCTGCGCTGGAACCCCCCAGCTTCCAGTGTTGATAACTACGTGCTCACTGTCACCCGGAACCAAGGTATGTGGAAACCTGATCAAGGGAAACCCCACATTTCACACATGATAAAAATAGCAGTCATAAACACTCAGGCCATGTTTTCACTTAGTACGACATGTGTTTTCAGTGATTCAATCACAAGTGGTCAGCTGAGACACATTACTGTTTCTATGTGGTACTAACATGCGGTCAAATGTGTCTCTTGTGACCACTTGTGTCCCTTCCTTCTTGGGAAGTGCACAATTCAATACATAAGTACTATTGAATGAATTCACTCATGCTATGTGGCTTGCAAATGAATGTGGATCTGCAAAAGGATATGGATGGGCATTGATCATGTTTTAGATCAGTTATGTGGTCTTTTGATTCTGTTTAAATGCATTCAGCTGCATGAGCACTTGCAAATTTGGTCGAATCTAGTCAAAAAAATTGGTCAAGTCTAGACAAGCTCAAAGCATTTAAACCTCATTTACACTGACTGAACTGCAACCGTCCATGTATCGCCAGTAAACGCAAATGTAACGTAATACCAGCTTTAAAAATGTCTTAAATGAAAGTTAACTTTTTAAATAGGCAAATATAATCTGCTTTGCTGTTTCAGGTCTGTGAGCTGCATGAAAAACAATGCAGATATGCAAATGAGCCTCACTAAGTGGCAATAATAAAACGCAATTAACCATATAATCATGCATAGTTAGGATAGCTAATTAAATTGGCTTATCAACTTTTAAATAGGTAGAAGACAAAATGTTTTTATTGCTTGTTTTGTTTTTGATTCTTTACATCGCTGATGCTTGGCCTCACCATACAGCATTTTTTTCTCCAAATGCGTCTGTTAGAAGCTAGTCAGAGTAGGGGCATCCCAATGTGGGCAAGTTATTTAGCGTCCCTAAAAATCATCAGTCAATAAATGCCACTAATAAAATAAATTGCATAATTAAACAGAATCTATTAAAAGGATCTCACCTACAGTGAGGATGAATATGGTTTGTGTGGACCTGTTTGTTTTGTGAAGTATAATAATGTGTTCTAAGTGCATGAAACCATCCGAGAATTATAATTAGAATGCAAAATTGTCATTATGCAGGGGATTAAATAATATAATTTAAATAAATAAATAATAGATAGATTAGTAAATAAATAAATAGTTAGTTTAATAGTTTCTCATTCTCTGTCACCAAAAATTCATATTTCACACCAGAATCAGAATCAGAAAGAGCGTTATTGCCAGGCATGTTCACACATACGAGGAATTTGCTTTCGTGACAGAACTTCAACAGTACAACAGAATTACCATGACAGGACAAACAACAGATAATAAATATATTTTAAAAATAGAAGTAAGTAGTAAATGCAAATATACAAATTGACAAGTGTATGTACAGGTATATTACTATATACAGTGTTATATGTGCTGCTGTTGAGTGCAAATGGCCATGTAAAGTATGTTGTTAAATAAATAAATGTATATGTGTATACAAAGTAGTGATGTTTGTTCCACAATTACTATCATAAAGTGTTCATAAGATGGATTGCCTGAGGAAAGAAACCAAGTACCAATGGCTGTTGACTTAGTAATTTTATGATTTTAAACATTTCATGTGTTTGTTTGTTTTTGCTTTAAAATGCTAAACCACAAATCTTTTATTATCATGGAAACTTAAACAATAAAATATCTGGCGCATGTTGCATTTTTAGAGAAGGTTCATGAGAAGAAATTAATTTAGCAATTTTCCATGGCTATTCTTACTCCTATTAGGCACTTGGCAAATATTCACATTTTGCTTGCTTAGTTTATAGGGGGGAAAGCTGTAAAAAAAATAAATAAAAATAAAAATTGTAGAATGCATTAACAGTAAAATTCTCATATTATTCACTCAGTCATTTTGCTTAAAAAAAACTTTAACAATCCATTTTTTAAATAAACAAGTCTAAGCCTCTATTTTACCCCTTTTGTTTTTAATGTTTTAGAACACATTTTTCCCCGAAACACTTGTATTGTACAAGTACTTAGGAGCAAAAAGCAATATGTTGAGGAAAATTTAGAAAAAAGTGGTAAAATGAGTCAAACAATAAAATTCTCATATTATTTACTCAGTCATATTGGTTAAAATAAACTTTAACAGTCGACTTTTAAAATAAACAAGTCTCTAAGCCTCCACTTTTTTTTCATTATTTTGAACATATTGCTTTTTTCCTAAGTACTTATAGTATATAAGTACTTGGGGAGGCAAAAAGCTATATGGTGAGAATAATTAAGAAAAAAATGTAAAAAAGGATCAAACAGCAACATTCTCATAATATTTACTCAGACCAGTCATATTGTTTAAAATAAACTTAAACAATCAATTTTTTAAATAAACAACTCTCCAAGAATATTTGCAAGCAAACATGTGCACTAATTGATTCTCTTCTCTTGCTTCCAGTTACAGCAGACACCTTCTTAGTGGAGGGTAACAAGCAGGAGTATCAGCTGAGTCAGCTCATCCCCAGCACCACCTACTCAGTGGCCCTTTATGCCACCAAAGGTCCTCTCACCAGCGGCACGGTCATCTCCAACTTTGTCACACGTAAGTGCTTCATCTCTGTTCAGTGTGTTCTAATTACAGGAGGGCTTGAGGAGGTCGAGGCCCTCTAGATCCTGTTATACCCCACTAAATATCTCAAAAACAGGCCTGGTTTGACGGGAAAGCAGAGTTCTGGCAAAGAAGCAGAGCAGTAAAGTGAAACAGTATCTTTCTTTAACATCTTCATCTCAATCAGACTTAAAACCTTCAAACAGACACATCAGATATTTATTAAATATGTCCTGGAGGATAAGACATTACTCCCATGAATAACTAACGTTTCTGATGTTAAACGTTACCTTTCAACAGGGCCACAAAGGGGTTTGTGTAAATGTTTGGAGAAGCATAAAAATAAATATTTTATCAATGATTTTGTTGGTGAAATAAATATAAATACAGTTCTATTTTAAAGGTTTGAATAAAATAAAGCGCATTTGAATAAAAGCAAATAATAAATAGAAACTAGATTAAAATTGTAGATATATAATAATAGTTATAAAATAATCAATGTGCATAAATAAACATTAATAATGGATTAGAATCTGAAAAATGTACAACCATGAAAAACATACAAAATATATAAATGTCAGTATATATTCCAATTTTCTATTCCCTGTGATTATTTTTTTTGAAAATATGATATATTACAATTCAAAAGCACTATAATTTAGATTTAAAAAAAGAATCAAGATCACATTAGTTTTATCGAAAGACCTTTATAATGATCATAATAGCCATTATTAATGATTGAGCACCAATAATAATTTTTTTAATAGAACAACAAATCAGCGTATATAAATAATATTTGATCATGTGTCACTGAAGTAATGATGTGGAAAATTCAGCTGTACCATATAAGAATTAAATTACAATTAATAGAAAAATATTACAATTACATTTAACAACAAATATATTTACATAGAAAGCATATATATTTTTACAGTTTTTTATGGATTTAAGAAAAAACTGAAAAATTACATTTTTTGCTTGTTCAAACTACTTATTTTAAATAAGCTGAAACAACACAATTCTTGAGATTTTATTGGGAAAACTTAATTTTTTCATTTTCAATCCACATAAATTTGTTGAAAGTGTTAAATTAACTTAATGAATTAATTTGTGTTTGAACAACATGAATGAATTGTGTGGAACCCTGCATTTTTTTACAGTGTAAGTAATGTCATGGTAATTTCAAATGTATAGACTCTTACAGATCAAGAGACAAAGTATTACAAGGTTTACTTCCAAAATAGTTTTTAGCAAGCAAGATTTTTTTGCTTACCCCATTGGCAGATTATTTTGCTTGTTTTAAGGAAAACTCACTTAATATTGGCATATTATTTCTAAAAACAAGACAAAATGTTTTGCTTGCCTAGAAAATGCTTGTTGATATAAGATTTTTTAGATATTTGAACTTCAAAGAAATCTAAGTAAGAAAAGCATTTTTTGCAGTGCAGGAACACCAGTTGCTGCAGAGTGCGACACACAGGCTAACCAGACACCAGGTTTTATCTTCTTTCCCCTGCTTAAAGGCCTACTTCATCACAGTTGACACCCAGTTTTCTTTAGAGCTTTAGATTTAAGAGCCAGGATTTACACTTATTGAATGCATATGTGTAAAAGCAGATGACCACTTTCTAAATGACCCTAATTGTAATATTTGTTTTTGTATCATCTCTAGGAAAGCATATGTTTCTTAATATATGATGTTTCTCGTAAGAAAGAGAAGTTGTACACTATATAAATCAATGTTTTAATAATAATAAAAATGAATCACTATAAAATGATAATCTAACAACATAATAACTAAACAGTTTATGATTAATATATTACAAACATTTATATTGTTATTTTGTCTCAGTACTTTTGTGAGCAACTATACTGATTCTTTTTTAATTTTAGAATGGGGGTTCCTCACACAATAATTATTGTATTTGGTGGTCTGTGGTATCTAAATCTTTGAACCGCCCTGATATAGCTAATAGTTTAGTAGCCAGTGTAGTAGAAGGAACCATTGAAGTTAAAAGTGACATATTTATTTGCATCTGTGTAAAAGAATTCCAGAAGCTGCGACGTAAATTGCTATGGAGTGGCAGGATAACTATCAAATCCTAATATTTTTTACCTAAATGTCATGTTTCTTAATCCTGCTGCTGATGGCACACATTTCAGGTGTCTGTCTAACCTGAAACACCCTTACAATGTCTCCAGGTTATGTAGCACTGCACTAATGAGCCGATGAGGTGAATCAGACATCCAAAATGTGCTGAAATTGAGAAATAATAGTTTAGTGGAAGTGCAAGTTGCTAGTCTGATTTCAGTATTACCAACAGCTTGTTATGCACCATTCCAGTACTCTGGTTTGACTGGACAACCAGTGTCTCACAAGAGCTGATATTTAACCTGTGGTGAAGACATTTGATAAAACTACACTTTTTTTCTTAAAGTTGTGTTTAAATTTTTGTATAGTCATACAAAAATAACCATGCCAAAGCAAAAGATTAATACAAAAATGGTGATACGGTTTGGTACAGTACAGGACAATGCGCATTTATTTCTATTTCTACTACCAAAGGTTAAACACGTAGATTAAAATAGCGAACCATACATAAAACATAGCATACCCAAACATAACCAAAAAAGTGAAGCAAGACTTGCATCTAAAAGCTATTGGTTACAGAGAATCATCACTAGCGCATACAACAAGACAACATAATGAAAACACAGTAAGTGCCATTTTTAAATACACAGTCAAAACATGACACTGGAATAAACCAGGCTCAACAAACAAAGTTGTCATCTTCTTGTGACAAACAGCCACATGCCAAGTAGCAAAAACTGTAATCTACTTCTGTTTATGGAGCTGTTAAATGTAAACAAGTGGAAAACGGTAGATGTGCCACTTCCTCTGTGTATTTGCTCACGCATCTACATTTGAAATAAGGATCTTCAGTATAGTGCATACTTGTGCACTATTCTACTCCATTTTGTTGTATAAGTAGTGTGAGCAGTGCTTTTATTGCCTGGATGATACACTTATTTAGCTGTTAAAAGAGGTGTGGAATGTTGGACACTTTACGCACTTAACAGCTGCTGCTTCGCTCACGTAGCGGAATAGGGGGATGTTGGATTATTTCTTTTAGGTTGTGAAAGCTAAATTCTCCTACGTGAGTGATTATAGCGCCTCCTGATGCTGAGTGCAGTTATACTCGTGGCAGTTATTATTTGGTAGTTTGGTCATTTATTTCACTAATTTGGCAACCATTAAACGTCATCTGGGAAACGGTTTGAATTTCTGCTAGTGTTCCATTTTGGACGACACTACATACATAAGCTATGCTGTTGAGAGTGTAAGTGCATAAGTACATAGTGCATAGTGTATAGTGTGCCATTTGGGATGCAGCTACAGTATGTGAATGGCCCTTACTTCTTTCTTTTTTAAACGAGAATGACATCGATTGCCACTTTCTGGCATATATCATCTACTGTACTGACAGCAAACAAGGCATTATTATCACAAACAACAGTTGTTTACCTCCTGTTTAATGCTTAATGATTACAGATATCACTCAAATTATTAAAAGTTTACACACCCTTAAATATCTGACCTTATTTCAGACACATGCACACACAGGTTTAAATGACAATTAAAGTTCATGCAAGATGGACAAAGCCAAGAAAAATGATCAGTTTTACCCTTTGCAAGAAGTTGGCTCCTCACACACAGCTTTTACAAAAGCTAAACTTCTTTTAAAACAGTATTTAAAGATTTATTTTTTGATATTTTTGCTTCTATTGTGTGATTGTAGACATTGACATGAAGTGCAGTTGTAGAGAGGGGGGATGCTTGGGAAAGGTCCACAAGTCAGGACTTTTTGGGAAAAATTGGGACGTCCACTGGACAGTTGTGCTACAGTATGCCACTGACTGACCACTAGGTCAAAACATTACACAGTTTACTTGTAGAACTAATGCAAAAATAAAAATTCTTTTTTTTCTTGGCTACACGGTCACCTCACAGCAAGAAGGTCACTGGTTCGAGTCCGAGCTGGGTTTCGAGTTCGAGGACGTGATATAAGTGAATTGATTAAGCTAAATTGACAGTAGTGTATGTGTGTGAATGACTGTGTATGGACGTTTCTCAGTACTGGGTTGAAGCTGCAAGGGCATCCGCTGTGTAAAACATATCCTGGATAAGTTGGCAGTTCATTCCACTGTGGCGACCCCTGATGAATAAAGGGACCAAACTGAGGAAAAATTAATGAATGAATGGCTGCGTCCGAAACCACCCACCCACTCAGTAGGTAATGCATTTGAATTTTAATGTACTACTTAGCCGTTCGAAAAGTACGCTCTATACAGCATGAATGTGAGCAGTATGACTGCAACTCATCATACTACATCCGCCAATTTGTCATGATCATGTGATCTACCAGCGTGAATTCTCTACCAGGGCTTCATGGTACAGCGTAGCGTGCATCGGATGCACATTTCGGAATCTCGCCAGGAGTTGTATAGGATATTTCTCGCATACAGTTTTTTGAATTCTAGTAATTCAGACATACAACTCACATACTTTTTAAGTGTACTTTATAGTATCGACTTATGTGATTTTGGATGCAGCCAATAAATTTTTTTCTTTGTTGCCATTGAAAAAAATGCTTTTTTTGTTTGTTTTTTTTCACTAATTGTGTCTTTCTGTTATAACCTACACTGTAAAATGCTGTAAAATATACAGTATTACTGGCACCTTAAATTATTAATTTTATCTGCTTAATCCTTTCCCTGAAAAATGTCACATATATTACAGACATTTCAAGCGCATGCAAACGTTTGAGCACAAAATCTACAAAAATAGACAGCTGCAATAAAAAGCACTTCTCTAATCATACCATCATCCTCTTCTAGTTTAGCAGAGCCAGTGTTCATGTGAAGCGGAAACAAGGCCATGACTTTATTTTTGTCGTTTTTATAATAAAACACTAAAGTCAGCAAAGCTCCAA